ATGTTATAGTCTTCTGTATCATTTGAATATCTTTCTTTCTTTCTTTCTTTCTTTCTTTCTTTCTTTCTTTCTTTTCATTATAATAATCATTCTGTCCAAAAGTCTTTGGTAATTCATGCTAACCTTCATATGTTATAGTCTTCTGTATCACTTGAATACCTTTCTTTCTTTCTTTCTTTCTTTCTTTCTTTCTTTTCATTATAATAATCATTCTGTCCAAAAGTCTTTGGTAATTCATGCTAACCTTCATATGTTATAGTCTTCTGTATCACTTGAATATCTTTCTTTCTTTCTTTCTTTCTTTCTTTCTTTTCTTTCTTTTTTTCATTATAATAATCATTCTATCCAAAGTCTTTGGTAATTCATCTAACCTTCATATGTTATAGTCTTCTTTATCACTTTCATACCTTTCTTTCTTTCTTTCTTTCTTTCTTTCTTTCTTTCTTTCTTTCTTTTTTCTTTTCATAATAATCATTCTGTCCAAAAGTCTTTGGTAATTCATGCTAACCTTCATATGTTATAGTCTTCTGTATCACTTGAATATCTTTCTTTCTTTCTTTCTTTCTTTCTTTCTTTCTTTCTTTCTTTTCATTATAATAATCATTCTGTCCAAAATTTCTTTGGTAATTCATTCTAACCTTCATATGTTATAATCTTCTGTATCACTTGAATATTTTCTTTCTTTCTTTCTTTCTTTTTCTTTCTTTCTTTCTTTCTTTCTTTCTTCATTTCATTATAATAATCATTCTGTCCAAAAAGTCTTTTGGTAATTCATGCTAACCTTCATATGTTATAGTCTTCTGTATCACTTGAATATCTTTCTTTCTTTCTTTCTTTCTTTCTTTTCTTTTTTCTTTTCATTATAATAATCATTCTGTCCAAAAGTCTTTGGTAATTCATGCTAACCTTCATATGTTATAGTCTTCTGTATCACTTGAATATCTTTCTTTCTTTCTTTCTTTTTTTCTTTCTTTCTTTTTTCTTTTCATTATAATAATCATTCTATCCAAAGTCTTTGGTATTCATGTTATTTATAGTCTTCTGTATCTTTCTTGAATATTCTTTCTTTCTTTCTTTTTTTCATTATTTCTTTCAAAAGTCTTTTTTCATTCTTTCTTTCTTTTCATTATAATAATCATTCTATCCTTTCTTTGGTTTCATGCTAACCTTCATATGTTATAGTCTTCTGTATCACTTTTCTTTCTTTCTTTCTTTCTTTCTTTCTTTCTTTCTTTTTTTTTCATTATAATAATCATTCTGTCCAAAAGTCTTTGGTAATTCATGCTAACCTTCATATGTTATAGTCTTCTGTATCACTTGAATATCTTTTTCTTTCTTTCTTTCTTTCTTTCTTTCTTTTTCTTTCTTTTCATTATAATAATCATTCTATCCAAAAGTCTTTGGTAATTCATGCTAACCTTCATATGTTATAGTCTTCTGTATCATTTGAATATTTCTTTTTTCTTTTTTCTTTCTTTCTTTCTTTCTTTTCTTTCTTTTTTCATTATAATAATCATTCTGTCAAAAAGTCTTTGGTAATTCATGCTAACCTTCATATGTTATAGTCTTCTGTATCACTTGAATATCTTTCTTTCTTTCTTTCTTTCTTTCTTTCTTTCTTTCTTTCTTTCTTTTTTCATTATAATCATTCTATCCTTTGGTAATTCATGCTAACCTTCATATGTTATAGTCTTCTGTATCACTTGAATATCTTTCTTTCTTTCTTTCTTTCTTTCTTTCTTTCTTTCTTTCTTTTCATTATAATAATCATTCTGTCCAAAAGTCTTTGGTAATTCATGCTAACCTTCATATGTTATAGTCTTCTGTATCACTTGAATATCTTTCTTTCTTTCTTTCTTTCTTTCTTTCTTTCTTTCTTTCTTTCTTTCTTTTCATTATAATAATCATTCTATCAAAAGTCTTTGGTAATTCATGCTTTCTTTTCATTCTTTTCATTTAATAATCTTCTGTATCAAAGTCTTTGGTAATTCATCTTTTATAGTCTTCTGTCTTTCTTTCTTTCTTTTTCTTTCTTTCTTTCTTTCTTTATAAATAATCATTCTGTCCAAAAGTCTTTGGTAATTCATGCTAACCTTCATATGTTATAGTCTTCTGTATCACTTGAATATCTTTCTTTCTTTCTTTCTTTCTTTCTTTCTTTTTTCATTTCATTATAATCATTCTTCTCCAAAAGTCTTTGGTAATTCATTCTTCATATGTTATAGTCTTCTGTATCACTTGAATATCTTTCTTTCTTTCTTTCTTTCTTTCTTTCTTTCTTTTCATTATAATAATCATTCTATCCAAAAGTCTTTGGTAATTCATGCTAACCTTCATATGTTATAGTCTTCTGTATCACTTGAATACCTTTCTTTCTTTCTTTCTTTCTTTCTTTCTTTCTTTCTTTCATTATAATAATCATTCTGTCCAAAAGTCTTTGGTAATTCATGCTAACCTTCATATGTTATAGTCTTCTGTATCACTTGAATATCTTTCTTTCTTTCTTTTTGCTTTCTTTCTTTCTTTCTTTCTTTCTTTTTCATTTCATTAATAATCATTCTGTCCAAAAGTCTTTGGTAATTCATGCTAACCTTCATTGTTATAGTCTTCTGTATCACTTGAATATCTTTCTTTCTTTCTTTCTTTCTTTCTTTTCTTTCTTTTTGGTTTTTTCATTCTTCTTTCTTTCTTTCTTTCCTTTTTTCATTATAATAATCTTCTGTCCAAAAGTCTTTGGTAATTCATGCTAACCTTCATTTTTATTCTTCTTATCTTTCTTTCTTTCTTTCTTTCTTTCTTTCTTTCTTTCTTTCTTTTCATTATAATAATCATTCTGTCCAAAAGTCTTTGGTAATTCATGCTAACCTTCATATGTTATAGTCTTCTGTATCACTTGAATATCTTTCTTTCTTTCTTTCTTTCTTTCTTTCTTTCTTTCTTTTCATTATAATAATCATTCTGTCCAAAAGTCTTTGGTAATTCATGCTAACCTTCATATGTTATAGTCTTCTGTATCACTTGAATATCTTTCTTTCTTTCTTTCTTTCTTTCTTTCTTTCTTTCTTTCTTTCTTTCTTTCCATTTTAATAATCATTCTATCCAAATGTTATAGTCTTTGGTAATTCCTTTCTTTCCTTCATTCTTTTTTTTTAATAGTCTTCTGTATTCTTTGAATTCATCTTTCCTTCATTTTATAGTTTCTTTCTTTATCTTTCTTTCTTTCTTTTTCTTTCTTTCTTTCTTTTTCATTTTAATTATAAATCATTCTGTCCAAAGTCTTTGGTAATTCATGCTAACCTTCATCATATCTTTCTTTCTTTCCTTTCTTTCTTCTGTTTCTTTCTTTCTTTCTTTTCTTATAATAATCATTCTTCCAAAAGTCTTTCATTTTCATATGTTATAGTCTTCTGTATCACTTGAATATCTTTCTTTCTTTCTTTCTTTCTTTCTTTCTTTCTTTTTTTATAATAATCATTCTATCCAAAAAGTCTTTGGTAATTCTTTCCTTCATATGTTATAGTCTTTCTCTTTTCTTTCTTTTTATTTCTTTCTTTTTCTTTCTTTCTTTCTTTCTTTCTTTCTTTTTTTCATTATAATAATCATTCTGTCCAAAAGTCTTTGGTAATTCATGCTAACCTTCATATGTTATAGTCTTCTGTATCACTTGAATATCTTTCTTTCTTTCTTTCTTTCTTTCTTTTTCTTTTTCTTTTCTTTTTTCTTTTTTTCATTATAATAATCATTCTGTCCAAAAGTCTTTGGTAATTCATGCTAACCTTCATATGTTATAGTCTTCTGTATCATTTGAATATCTTTCTTTCTTTCTTTTTCTTTCATTTCTTTCTTTTTCTTTTTTCTTTCTTTCTTTCTTTTTTCTTTCATTCTGTCCAAAAGTTTTGGTAATTCATTTATGTTATAGTCTTCTGTATCACTTGAATATCTTTCTTTCTTTCTTTCTTTCTTTCTTTTCATTATAATAATCATTCTATCCAAAAGTCTTTGGTAATTCATGCTAACCTTCATATGTTATAGTCTTCTGTATCACTTGAATATCTTTCTTTCTTTCTTTCTTTCTTTCTTTCTTTCTTTCTTTCTTTTCATTATAATAATCATTCTGTCCAAAAGTCTTTGGTAATTCATGCTAACCTTCATATGTTTCTTTCTTTCTTTCTTTCTTTCTTTCTTTTTTCTTTTCATAGTCTTCTGTCCAAAAGTCTTTGAATTCATGCTAACCTTCATATTTATTCTTCTTTCTTTCTTTTTCTTTCTTTTTTCTTTCTTTTTTTCATTATAATAATCATTCTGTCAAAAAGTCTTTGGTAATTCATGCTTCCTTCATATGTTATAGTCTTCTGTATCACTTGAATACCTTTCTTTCTTTCTTTCTTTCTTTCTTTCTTTCTTTTTCTTTTCATTATAATAATCATTCTGTCCAAAGTCTTTGGTAATTCATGCTTTATGTTATAGTCTTCTGTATCACTTGAATATCTTTCTTTCTTTCTTTCTTTCTTTCTTTCTTTCTTTCTTTCTTTCTTTTCATTATAATAATCATTCTATCCAAAAGTCTTTGGTAATTCATGCTAACCTTCATATGTTATAGTCTTCTGTATCACTTGAATATCTTTCTTTCTTTCTTTCTTTCTTTCTTTCTTTCTTTCTTTCTTTTCATTATAATAATCATTCTATCAAAAGTCTTTGGTAATTCATGCTAACCTTCATATGTTTAAGTCTTCTGTATCACTTGAATATCTTTCTTTCTTTCTTTCTTTCTTTCTTTCTTTTCTTTTTTTTCATTATAATAATCATTCTGTCCAAAAGTCTTTGGTAATTCATTCCTTCATATGTTATAGTCTTCTGTATCTTTTCTTTCTTTCTTTCTTTCTTTCTTTTCATTATAATAATCATTCTGTCCAAAAGTCTTTGGTAATTCATGCTAACCTTCATATGTTATAGTCTTCTGTATCATTTGAATATCTTTCTTTCTTTCTTTCTTTCTTTCTTTCTTTCTTTCTTTTTGTTTGCTTTCTTTCTTTCGTTTGATCTTTCTTTCTTTCTTTCTTTTCATTATAATAATCATTCTGTCCAAAAGTCTTTGGTAATTCATGCTAACCTTCATATGTTATAGTCTTCTGTATCACTTGAATACCTTTCTTTCTTTCTTTCTTTCTTTCTTTCTTTCTTTCTTTCTTTTCATTATAATAATCATTCTGTCCAAAAGTCTTTGGTAATTCATGCTAACCTTCATATGTTATAGTCTTCTGTATCATTTGAATATCTTTCTTTTTCTTTCTTTCTTTCTTTCTTTCTTTCTTTTCTTTTCTTTCTTTTCATTATAATAATCATTCTGTCCAAAGTCTTTGGTAATTCATGCTAACCTTCATATGTTATAGTCTTCTGTATCACTTGAATATCTTTCTTTCTTTCTTTCTTTCTTTCTTTCTTTTTCTTTCTTTTTTCATTATAATAATCATTCTGTCCAAAAGTCTTTGGTAATTCATACTAACCTTCATATGTTATAGTCTTCTGTATCACTTGAATATCTTTCTTTCTTTCTTTCTTTCTTTCTTTCTTTCTTTTTCTTTCTTTTCATTATAATAATCATTCTATCCAAAAGTCTTTGGTAATTCATGCTAACCTTCATATGTTATAGTCTTCTGTATCACTTGAATATTTCTTTCTTTCTTTCTTTCTTTCTTTCTTTCTTTCTTTTCATTATAATAATCATTCTATCTTTCATGCTTTCATATGTTATAGTCTTCTTTCCTTTCTTTCTTCTTTCTTTCTTTCTTTCTTTCTTTCTTTCTTTTCATTATAATAATCATTCTTCCAAAAGTCTTTGGTAATTCATGCTAACCTTCATATGTTATAGTCTTCTGTATCACTTGAATATCTTTTTCTTTCTTTCTTTCTTTCTTTCTTTCTTTCTTTTTTCATTATAATAATCATTCTGTCCAAAAGTCTTTGGTAATTCATTCCTTCATATGTTACCTTCTGTATCATTGTTTTAGTCTTTTCTTTCTTTCTTTTCTTCATTCTATCTTTGCTAACCTTCCTTTCTTTCTTTCTTTCTTTCTTTCTTTCTTTCTTTCTTTCTTTTCATTATAATAATCATTCTGTCCAAAAGTCTTTGGTAATTCATGCTAACCTTCATATGTTATAGTCTTCTGTATCACTTGAATATCTTTCTTTCTTTCTTTCTTTCTTTCTTTCTTTTCATTATAATAATCATTCTATCCAAAAGTCTTTGGTAATTCATGCTAACCTTCATATGTTATAGTCTTCTGTATCACTTGAATATCTTTTCTTTCTTTCTTTCTTTCTTTCTTTCTTTCTTTCTTTCTTTCTTTTCATTATAATAATCATTCTGTCCAAAAGTCTTTGGTAATTCATGCTAACCTTCATATGTTATAGTCTTCTGTATCATTTGAATATCTTTCTTTCTTTCTTTCTTTCTTTCTTTTCTTTCTTCTTTTCATAATAATAATCATTCTGTCTTTCTTTGGTAATTCATCCTTCATATGTTATAGTCTTCTTATCACTTGAATACCTTTCTTTCTTTCTTTCTTTCTTTCTTTCTTTCTTTTCTTTTTTCATCATTATAATAATCATTCTGTCAAAAGTCTTTGGTAATTCATGCTAACCTTCATATGTTATAGTCTTCTGTATCACTTGAATATCTTTCTTTCTTTCTTTCTTTCTTTCTTTCTTTCATTATAATAATCATTCTGTCCTTCTTTGGTAATTCATGCTAACCTTCATATGTTATAGTCTTCTGTTATCTTTCTTTCTTTCTTTCTTTCTTTCTTTTCTTTCTTTTTTTCATTATAATAATCATTCTGTCAAAAGTCTTTGGTAATTCATGCTAACCTTCATATGTTATAGTCTTCTGTATCACTTGAATATCTTTCTTTCTTTCTTTCTTTCTTTCTTTCTTCTTTCTTTTTATAATAATCATCTTTCTTTTCATTTGTCCAAAAGTCTTTCATTTTCATATGTTTTCTAGTCTTCTGTATCACTTGAATATCTTTCTTTCTTTCTTTCTTTCTTTCTTTTTTCTTTCTTTCTTTCTTTCTTTCTTTCATTATAATAATCATTCTGTCCAAAAGTCTTTGGTAATTCATGCTAACCTTCATATGTTATAGTCTTCTGTATCACTTGAATATCTTTCTTTCTTTCTTTCTTTCTTTCTTTCTTTTCTTTCTTTCTTTTTTTTCATTATAATAATCATTCTTCAAAAGTCTTTCATTTAACTAACCTTCATTCCTTATAGTCTTCTGTATCACTTGAATATCTTTCTTTCTTTCTTTCTTTCTTTCTTTCTTTCTTTCTTTCTTTTTCATTATAATAATCATTCTGTCCAAAAGTCTTTGGTAATTCATGCTAACCTTCATATGTTATAGTCTTCTGTATCACTTGAATATCTTTCTTTCTTTCTTTCTTTCTTTCTTTCTTTCTTTCTTTCTTTTCATTATAATAATCATTCTATCAAAAGTCTTTGGTAATTCATGCTAACCTTCATATGTTATAGTCTTCTGTATCCTTCCTTTTCTTTTTTTTCTTTCTTTCTTTCTTTCTTTTTTTTTTCATTATAATAATCATTCTTTCCAAAAGTCTTTCCTAATTCCTGCTAATTCATACTAACCTTCATATGTTATAGTCTTCTGTATCATTTTATCTTTTCTTTTCTTTCTTTCTTTCTTTCTTTCTTTCTTTTTCATTATAATAATCATTCTATCAAAAGTCTTTGGTAATTCATGCTAACCTTCATATGTTTAGTCTTCTGTATCACTTTATCTTTTTTTCTTTCTTTCTTTCTTTCTTTCTTTTTTCTTCTTAATCATTCTGTCCAAAGTCTTTGGTAATTCATGCTAACCTTCATATGTTATAGTCTTCTGTATCACTTTATCTTTCTTTCTTTCTTTCTTTCTTTCTTTTTTCTTTCATTATAATAATCATTCTGTCCAAAGTCTTTGGTAATTCATACTAACCTTCATATGTTATAGTCTTCTGTATCACTTGAATATCTTTCTTTCTTTCTTTCTTTCTTTTTCTTTCTTTCTTTTCATTTCATTCCTTTTTCTTCCAAAAGTCTTTGGTAATTCATGCTAACCTTCATCCTAGTCTTCTGTATCACTTCCTTCTTTCTTTCTTTCTTTCTTTCTTTCTTTCTTTCTTTTTCATTATAATAATCATTCTGTCCAAAAGTCTTTGGTAATTCATGCTAACCTTCATATGTTATAGTCTTCTGTATCACTTGAATATCTTTCTTTCTTTCTTTCTTTCTTTCTTTCTTTCTTTCTTTCTTTCTTTTCATTATTAATCATTCTTTCATTAAATAATCTTTGGTAATTCTTTGGTAATTCATGCTAACCTTCATATGTTATAGTCTTCTGTATCCTTTCTTTCTTTCTTTCTTTCTTTCTTTCTTTCTTTTTTTCATTATAATAATCATTCTTCCAAAAGTCTTTGGTAATTCATGCTTTCATATTCTTCTGTATTTTTCTTTCTTTCTTTCTTTTTCTTTCTTTCTTTCTTTCTTTCTCCAAAAAGTTTCACGCTAACCTTCATATGTTATAGTCTTCTGTATCTTGAATATCTTTCCTTCTTTCTTTCTTTCTTTCTTTCTTTCTTTCTTTCTTTTCATTTTCAAAATCATTTCTGTCCAAAAGTCTTTGGTAATTCATAACTTCATATGTTATAGTCTTCTTATCACTTCCTTTCTTTCTTTCTTTCTTTCTTTCTTTCTTTCTTTCTTTTTCATTATAATAATCATTCTGTCCAAAAAGTCTTTTGGTAATTCATGCTAACCTTCATATGTTATAGTCTTCTGTATCACTTGAATATCTTTCTTTCTTTCTTTCTTTCTTTCTTTCTTTTTTTCCTTTCTTCCTTCTATTTTTGGTAATTCATGCTAACCTTCATATGTTATAGTCTTCTTATCCTTGAATATCTTTCTTTCTTTCTTTCTTTCTTTTCTTTTCTTTCTTTCTTTTTTTATAATAATCATTCTGTCCAAAAGTCTTTGGTAATTCATTTATGTTATAGTCTTCTGTATCCTTGAATATCTTTCTTTCTTTCTTTCTTTCTTTCTTTCTTTTCATTATAATAATCATTCTATTTCATGCTAACCTTCATATGTTATAGTCTTCTGTATCACTTGAATACCTTTCTTTCTTTCTTTCTTTCTTTTTCTTTCTTTCTTTCTTTTTTTCATTATAATAATCATTCTGTCCAAAAAGTCTTTGGTAATTCATGCTAACCTTCATATGTTATAGTCTTCTGTATCACTTGAATATCTTTCTTTCTTTCTTTCTTTCTTTCTTTCTTTCTTTCTTTTTTTCATTATAATAATCATTCTGTCCAAAGTCTTTTGGTAATTCATGCTAACCTTCATATGTTATAGTCTTCTGTATCACTTGAATATCTTTCTTTCTTTTCTTTCTTTCTTTCTTTCTTTCTTTTTTCATTATAATAATCATTCTGTCCAAAAGTCTTTGGTAATTCATGCTAACCTTCATATGTTATAGTCTTCTGTATCACTTGAATATCTTTCTTTCTTTTTCTTTCTTTCTTTCTTTCTTTCTTTCTTTCTTTTCATTATAATAATCATTCTGTCCAAAAAGTCTTTGGTAATTCATGCTAACCTTCATATGTTATAGTCTTCTGTATCACTTGAATATTTCTTTCTTTCTTTCTTTCTTTCTTTCTTTCTTTCTTTCCTTCCTTTCTTTTTCTTTCTTTCTTTCTTTCTTTTTTCATTTCATAATAATCATTCTGTCAAAAGTCTTTGGTAATTCATGCTAACCTTCATATGTTATAGTCTTCTGTATCACTTGAATATTTTTTCTTTCTTTCTTTCTTTTTTCTTTCTTTCTTTCTTTTCATTTAATTTCATATAATCCTTCTGTCTTCAAATATCTTTTGGTAATTCATCCTTTCCTTAGTCTTCTTATCCTTCCTTTCCTTCTTTCTTTCTTTCTTTCTTTCTTTCTTTCTTTTTTTCATTATAATAATCATTCTGTCCAAAAGTCTTTGGTAATTCATGCTAACCTTCATATGTTATAGTCTTCTGTATCCTTGAATATTCTTTCTTTCTTTCTTTCTTTTCTTTCTTTTTTCTTTATAATAATCATTTGTCCAAAGTCTTTGGTTTCATTCCTTCATATGTTATAGTCTTCTGTATCACTCTTTCCTTTCTTCTTTCTAACTTTCTTTCTTTCTTTCTTTTCTTTCTTTTGAATATATTCCTTCTTTCTTTCTTTCTTTTTTTTTTTTCATTATAATAATCATTCTGTCCAAAAGTCTTTGGTAATTCATGCTAACCTTCATATGTTATAGTCTTCTGTATCCTTGAATATCTTTCTTTCTTTCTAACCTTTCTTTCTTTCTTTTTTTCATTATAATAATCATTCTATCCAAAGTCTTTTAATTCATTCTTTCCTTCATTCCTTCCTTCTGTCCTTGAATTCCTTTCTTTCTTTTTTTTTTTTCTTTCTTTCTTTCTTTTTTTCATTATAATAATCATTCTGTCCAAAAGTCTTTGGTAATTCATGCTAACCTTCATATGTTATAGTCTTCTGTATCACTTGAATATCTTTCTTTCTTTCTTTCTTTCTTTCTTTTTCATTCTTTCTTTTCAAAAGTCTTTTAATTCCTTCCTTCATCCTTTATAGTCTTCTTATCCTTTCTTTCTTTCTTTCTTTTCTTTCTTTCTTTCTTTTCATTATAATAATCATTCTGTCCAAAAGTCTTTATGTTATAGTCTTCTGTATCTTTAACTTTCTTTCTTTCTTTCTTTCTTTCTTTTTTTCATTATAATAATCATTCTGTCCAAAAGTCTTTGGTAATTCATGCTAACCTTCAATATCTTTCTAGTCTTCTGTATCTTTCTTTCTTTCTTTTCTTTCCTTCCTTCCTTTCTTTCTTTCTTTCTTTCTTTTCTTTCTTTCTTTCTTTCTTTTTTTTCATTATAATAATCATTCTGTCCAAAAGTCTTTGGTAATTCATGCTAACCTTCATATGTTATAGTCTTCTGTATCACTTGAATATCTTTCTTTCTTTCTTTTCTTTCTTTCTTTCTTTTTTTCTTTCTTTTTTTCATTATAATAATCATTCTGTCCAAAAGTCTTTGGTAATTCATTAACCTTCATATGTTATAGTCTTCTGTATCCTTTATTTCTTTCTTTCTTTTTCTTTCTTTCTTTCTTTCTTTTCATTATAATAATCATTCTGTCCAAAAGTCTTTGGTAATTCATGCTAACCTTCATATGTTATAGTCTTCTGTATCTTTATCTTTCTTTCTTTCTTTCTTTCTTTCTTTCTTTCTTTCTTTCTTTTCTGTTTCTTTCTTTCTTTCTTTCCTTCCTTCTAATTCATGCTAACTTCAATCTTTCTTTCTTTTCTTTTCTTTCTTTCTTTCTTTCTTTTTTCATTATAATAATCATTCTGTCCAAAAGTCTTTGGTAATTCATGCTAACCTTCATATGTTATAGTCTTCTGTATCACTTGAATATCTTTCTTTCTTTCTTTCTTTCTTTCTTTCTTTCTTTCTTTTCATTTCATTATAATAATCATTCTATCCTTTGAATTTATTTCTTTCTGTATCACTTGAATATCTTTCTTTCTTTCTTTCTTTCTTTCTTTCTTTCTTTTTTTCATTATAATAATCATTCTGTCCAAAAAGTCTTTGGTAATTCATGCTAACCTTCATATGTCATAGTCTTCTGTATCACTTGAATATCTTTCTTTCTTTCTTTCTTTCTTTCTTTCTTTCTTTTCATTATAATAATCATTCTGTCCAAAAGTCTTTGGTAATTCATTAACCTTCATATGTTATAGTCTTCTTATCTTGAATATTTTTTCTTTTTTTTTTTCTTTCTTTCTTTCTTTCTTTCTTTTTCATTATAATAATCATTCTGTCAAAAGTCTTTGGTATTCATAATTCATATCATAGTCTTCTGTCCTTGAATATCTTTCTTTCTTTCTTTCTTTCTTTCTTTCTTCATTTCTTTCCTTCATTTATAGTCTTCTGTCCAAAGTATTCATCTTTCATATGTTATAGTCTTCTGTTCTTTTATCTTTCTTTTCTTTCTTTCTTTCTTTTCTTTCTTTTCTTTCTTTTCATTATAATAATCATTCTGTCCAAAAGTCTTTGGTAATTCATGCTAACCTTCATATGTTATAGTCTTCTGTATCACTTGAATATCTTTCTTTCTTTCTTTCTTTCTTTCTTTCTTTCTTTCTTTCTTTTCATTATTTAATCATTTTTGGTAATTCCTTCCTTCCTTCATATGTTTCTGTATCTTTATCTTTCTTTCTTTTTCTTTCTTTCTTTCTTTTCTTTTCATTTCATTATAATCATTCTGTCCAAAAAGGTAATTCATGCTAACCTTCATATGTTATAGTCTTCTGTATCACTTGAATATTTCTTTCTTTCTTTCTTTCCTTTCTTCATTCTTTCTTTGGTAATTCTTTCTTTTCATTTCTTCTGTATCACTTGAATACTTTTCCTTCCTTTCTTTCTTTCTTTTTTTCTTTTCATTATAATAATCATTCTGTCCAAAAGTCTTTGGTAATTCATGCTAACCTTCATATGTTATAGTCTTCTGTATCACTTGAATATCTTTCTTTCTTTCTTTTTCTTTCTTTCTTTCTTTCTTTCTTTCTTTTCTTTTCATTATAATAATTTTCATTATAATAATCATTCTGTCCAAAGTCTTTGGTAATTCATGCTAACCTTCATATGTTATAGTCTTCTGTATCACTTGAATACCTTTCTTTCTTTCTTTCTTTCTTTCTTTCTTTCTTTCTTTCTTTCTTTCTTTCTTTTCATTATAATAATCATTCTGTCCAAAAGTCTTTGGTAATTCATGCTAACCTTCATATGTTATAGTCTTCTCCAAAAGTTTTCTTTCTTCATTTCTTTCTTTCTTTCTTTCTTTTCATTATAATTAAATCATTCTTTCCAAAAGTCTTTGGTAATTCATACTAACCTTCATTTTATAGTCTTCTGTATCACTTGAATACCTTTCTTTCTTTCTTTCTTTCTTTCTTTCTTTCTTTCTTTTCATTATAATAATCATTCTGTCCAAAAGTCTTTGGTAATTCATGCTAACCTTCATATGTTATAGTCTTCTGTATCACTTGAATATCTTTCTTTCTTTCTTTCTTTCTTTCTTTCTTTCTTTCTTTCTTTCTTTCTTTTCATTATAATAATCATTCTGTCAAAGTCTTTGGTAATTCATTCTTTCCTTCATATGTTATAGTCTTCTGTATCACTTGAATATCTTTCTTTCTTTCTTTCTTTTTCTTTCTTCTTTTTCATTCTTCCCTTTCATTCTTTTAAAGTCTTTCTTTCTTTATCATTTTATAATCATTCTGTTCTTTGGTAATTCATTTTCTTCATTATTTATAGTCTTCTTATCCTTCCTTATCTTTTTCTTTCTTTCTCTTTTCTTTCTTTTCATTATTTCTTTCTTTCACTAATTCATATAATTCATCATTCTCTCAAAAGTCCTTGGTAATTCATTCTTTCCTTCATATGTTTTAGTCTTCTGCGTCCAAAGTCTTTGGATATCTTTCTTTCATTCATTCATTCATTATTTCTTTCTTTCTTTCTTTCTTTCTTTTCATTATAATAATCAATCCACCTTTGATAACTCATGCTAACTTTCATATATTATAGTTTTCTGCATCACTTGGATTTCTTTCTATCTTTCTTCTCATTATAATAATCAAAAGTATTTGGTAATTCAGGTTAACGTTCATACAATTTACCGGATCGAGAACCACCAGAGGAAAGGCCCAGAATATCACAACTGAAACGAGGTACAAATAATGACAAAGATGAGGACAAAATATGTAATCAATGTAAATAATGATAAATCCTTGTCTCAGCATTTCAGACAGAAATAGCCAAACTTTATTCAGCGAACAAAATAGAAAAACGGTCTGCCCGTTGACAGTGCAACATACAAAAAAATATTCGCTACATAATCCAACGCTGAATACAGCGACCAAATGTGTACGTATGTACGCAACGATGGATGCGCATATATGACTAGTCCCACACTGTTCACATATGTTTGTATATGTGTGAACTCCGGTGAGTGAGCTTGCATGTGTGTGTGTCTTCTTACGTCAATGAGTGAACATGCGTGTATGCATGTTTGCGTAAGTATGTGTGGCTTTCCGACGTCAATTTTCGTCCTACTTCCATAAAAACACCGATATTCGTAACAATATATAATTCCAAAATTTAAAAATTAATCAGTTTGTCAGTCGATCGCAAATAGCGTGAAACCCAGGGCCACAAACTCGTATCAATCCAAATATATATATATATATATATATATATATATATATATATATATATATATATATATATAACAAAAATATATATATATTTCTTAGAACAAAAAGTAGGACGTTGTGGGGGACCATAATCGCCTACTTTCTGAAAGAAGATCGTGTATTAAAGAAAGAAGAATACCGTGCTAAACCACTGGCACTACTCAGTATTACGCGCGAATGTGCATATGTATTTACTAGCAGTAGAGCCCGGCATTGCCCGGGGATGTAACAGTAAGAGATAGATCAAGTATCGACCATCATAAAGACTGAAAAATAAAATTGACAAAGATTATTGTTTAAGGTTGACGGACACGCATGTCTTAATTAGTTTTATTTTTTTTTTTTTACGAATTGGTCAAACCCAAACTCAAACAAAAACATTGTTTTCAATCGTAATGAGTCTACCGATTGAATAGAATTTTATTATAAACAATTGTCTTGTAAATGAAATTTTTAAAGCATTCTGAATGTAAAAATAAAGAAAAAAGTGTGCAAGACAATAAGAAACACTACCTGCCAAAAAAAAGTGAAGTCTTGTTGAAATCGGTTGAAAAATGTAGAAAATCCGATCCCATATATAAACGAACACAGACACACACACACAAACAACCCGGGTTTTATAATAAGTATAACTCGATATGAGTTGTCCCCCTTTCATTCTCGCGATGCCTATTAATCGTGTTTTCAAATTGATTTCGTGCAAAAATAATTATGTTTTTCAAAATTTTTGGCGCTGTTAGAACCACCGCAAGGTAATTTTATGTAGTCCTGTGAAGTTTTGCTGAAATCGGTTGAAAAATGTAGGAAATCCAATCCAATATATAAACGTACAGACACACACACACACACACAATCTGCGTTTTATAATAAGTAAGATTACTTCATAATACGTCAATTGTTTTATTGTATGTCGTGTTTTTAATATGTTGCTATAATAGATATATATCGAACACACTAACGAGACCAGATGACAGTGCATTTGTTTTAAGTCTGACAAACAGTACCAAAACTTTATATAACCAAGGGGCAAAAATCGTAATAGTATTAACTAGAACAAATTTATATTCAAAACAAAAAAAAAAACTTTGTGTCTGTGTGCATATATGTGCATATGTGTGTGTCCTCTATTAAGATGCCCTACTGAGATAGGTATAATAAACAGAGCTGTGAAGGAAGAAAGAAACAAAGAAAGAAAGAAAGAAACAAACAAACAAACAAACAAGACATACAAGTGATACATGAGCGCTAACATGAATTAAAAACTTTGGAGTGAATAATTATTATAATGAAAAGAAAGAAAGAAGAAAATTCAAGGGAAAATGATTATTATAATGAAATGAAAGAAAGAAAGAAAGAAAGAAAGAAAGAAAGAAAGAAAGAAAGAAAGAAAGAAAAAGAAACAAAGAAGAAAATTCAAGGGAAAATGATTATTATAATGAAAAGAAAGAAAGAAAGAAAGAAAGAAAGTAGAAAATTCAAGGGAAAATGATTATTATAATGAAAAGAAAGAAAGAAAAAAGAATGAAAGAAAGAAAGAAAGAACGAAAGAAAGAAAGACATCCAAGTGATACAGATGACTATAACATGAATTTTAGCATGAATGACCGAAAGTTTTTGAAGAGAATGATTATTATTATTAGTAGTAGTAGTAGTAGTAGTAGCAGTAGTAGTAGTAGTATATGTTATGTTTCCTGCTTTGTATCCTGTGGAGCCGGGTTCAAACTATGGTCCTTAGGCCCTATAAAAGAATTACCATTTAATTAATAGCCCTTTTCTTAGTTATGGGATGTTCCTAATAGGGCGTTCTTCTGGGCAACTTGTATGTTGATGTTACTTGGGACAGTGTTAGTAAAATTGTCCATTCCTTTTCTCACGAGGCCCAGAGCTTATATTACTATTGGTACAGTCTTCATTCCCCACATCCTAAATAATTTAAATTTCTCTTTTGAAGAAATTGGTTTAGTCTTTCGGGGATAGCAATTGAAATCCACGAATCATGACATGTAAACTGTCAAATAAATTGTTTAACTACATCACTCGAAATCTTCACATCTGCGTATATATGATTATTATGATTATCTCGTCAGATAAATACACTTATACTTGATGAGATGTGCATAAACTTCCTTGTAACTAATAGCAAATCCTGAAATGTTGATTTGATTTACTGTTTTCTTTCCTGGTTCAATTATTAAGGCATTTTCATGAAGAGCTTAAAGAATTATAGAATTTCAAAAAAGTGCCCTGTTTTTTTTTTTTTAATCATTTCATCCCAAGCAAGACGATAATGCCACTAAGGCGCAAGTGAAAGGGAATGCAAAATATATTAGTGAGGATAAATGGATATAAAAGAATTTGATCCATGAACACAAAAGATGGCAATTGACGTTGACAAGGAAGCCATAAATGGGAGGATAGTTCCACAGGCAAGAAGTGCGAGAAAAGAAACTATTATAATAAAAGTTACGGTTACGTCTAGTTTGTTCAACAGTGAAACCTAGTTACCAATCTAGTTTAGTACAATTAAATTAATGCCATCGAGTTACCAAGGAGGAAAGCTGATCAGAACAATTACCATGAAATATGTCTGTGGGAAATTGACTGAAGTTGATATGCTAGGTCAGGACAGATTACATTTATTTTGTCTTTTAAATTCTCGGCATAGATCTTTTTTTTTGGTGGGGGGTATCTTGCTTACCTTTCCCGTGCACTTATTTGATATATTTTCATTACTTGCTTTGCCCATAAAGGCATTTATATTTATTTTCGTTTTTATTTATTTTCTTCTTCTTTACTTAAGAATAAAACATTAATAAAGCCACTAAGACGCAATGATTTACTGAGAGAATGAGAAAAAGAAAACGTTATTAAGAAGAGAAAATAAGAAATTTATTTTTATAATTAAAAGAAAGTGCGGGAGAAAGAATTAAGACGGAAGATGACAATTGCATTTAAATGTTTGAACATCAAACTTGACTGGAAAGCAAGTAGCCGGAAGTGAGTTCCACAAGCGAGAAGTGCGAGAGAAGGAACTGATAGCATAGAACTTACGGTTACATCTAGCCGTTTCAACTGTAATATGATAAAATATTAGCTGCCGATCTAAAACTGCGCCTAAATTCATAAAGTCTAGTTACCATAGGGTAAG